AGTACGCGGATAGTTAAAATTACGTATAGACTGCAACAAATGTTACAGAGGTCCTTAGTGTATAGGGATGTTGTTAAGCTGTTGCTGGCACATCTCTGGGTACTTTTTAGATGTACTGACATTAGCCTCAGGGTATGGAAGGCCCATAGCGTTTTGTGGTATTAAAAAGTTATCCCGTGTTTAAGTGAGGAATTTTTGGAAACGTGTACGGGGGAACAGACTTTGTAGATGATAGCCTAATCATGCCTGGAATTGTCAACGTTAATTGTCTTAATTTTTCTAAGAAGCAAACGTTAACATTGTTACATTTACTTTGTCAGCGCTGTGGACTTTCAAGTTTTTAAAATTGTTAGTCATTGATTTAGGTACTTTTAGCAAGGAAATAACTTGATATGAAGATCGTACCGGTGATGGTGAGTATTTTCAAGCAAATAAATAATGGAAGAGGGTTGATCTGAGACGTCAATATCGCGTGGCAACATCCTAAGTAGATGTAATAAGTAATATTTTTCCAAGTACACATAATCACCGGATTTCGGCAAATTTCAGACCCTATGATGCTCAAATAAATAGATAAAAAGAGCATGCAAGAAATAGAATGCAGTATGACAGCAAAACATTACTTCTTTGGGGAGTATTTCAGGCTATTAAAGTTTGATGGGAGTAAAGTCTGCTTGGGTGCCCTGTTTAACTTAGGACAGGAACGATGTATTGAGCTGAATATAAATAGAACCCAACACTTCAACACATTTGCGTCCGGCGCTCGAGTCCCCCTTTTCAGCAGTAAAAGCAGGACGGCGTGCACAAAAGTCGTGTCCAGAGTTATCTCACTAACATAATTAAATTGGATCAGAGATTTATTGTCCGTATAATAAAAATACAGATGTTTTGTTTCTTTTGGCATGGTTAAAAGTACACGCCAATAATTCAAATGGGGCTGAACACATTAACCGAAATCAAGTCTGTTTAACGTGAGAAAGGATTAAGTAACTAAGCACCGTTCAGGAATTGAATCTTCAAGGCATAAAACGTGAAAGGAGATGTCATTTTACCAGATGTCGGCAACGAACGTTAGAAGTTTCCGACTGCGGGCTTTCAAGTTCGTCCTAATAGTCACGGTTTCGAACTTTTACTGTATAGCATTAATGGGACTATGTACACGTACAAGTTAAGTTACAATAGTGCTTGCATTAACTTTCATCATCAGGGGTGTAATAATATTCATTATTCTCATGTTGTTGAGATGAAAGTGAAATTGTGGCTTGGCCGATACTTGTGTTGGGGAATAGCAGTTACCCAGGCCTTATAATCTGAAGAGCAGGGCCCTCAGGACGTTCTATTTTGTTGCATCGAAGTCTTGTCTACCTATTCATTAGATGTTACTTCAGAATCCCCAACTCTCAGTGAAAACCAGGACGGGTTAAAATCATTTTGCATGTTTGGGATTGTCATTGTGTTATTATTTTCTAGGAACTGACCAAGGGCCGCATGCGTACGCAGGCACTGTGACAGTGATATGTTGACAATGGGGTTTTCTGGCATGCCGTCAGCTGAATGATAACCTGCGATCATCCTCTCCTTCCTCCATGCTGAGATCGTCTGCGGCGACGGCGACGGCACCTTGGGCTATGGACATGGGCTGCTGCTGGTACAGCGTTGTCTTGGGCTTGTACGAAAAAGCACGGATAACACATGCGGGACCCGGGGAATAGATCGTGAATATTCATATTTCCTGTTGACCAATCAAACAGGAAGGTCGCAAATGGTACCACACGTCGCCCGGGGACAAACGCTACAACGTGTGCAAGAACAATGGGGTCAGCGTGGACATAATCGTGAATATTCAGCATATTCCCAGAGACCGATCAGGCCGGAATGTAGTCTCGGGCCAAGACGGCAGAATTCCCAAGTTTACAGATTCCCAAGACGGTAGAACGAGTCGTCAATTGGTGAAATAAAGCCACGAGATGGCGCAATAGAAATCGGCATATTATTATTCTCGATTGAGTCCGCTATCGTGTTCTGCCGTCTTGACCCAGGACTAACCGGAATGCAGCATGCACTGGGTACTACGTCACCACAAAATGGAAACTGATAAGGGTGCAGTCCACTAATTCAAGTGAGAATTTCTGGCCAGTTCATGAGCATTAAAAGTGCTCTCACAGTATCTTTTGAAAAAGGAGATTGTTTGGCCCCCAAATGGTGAGATTGTGTAAATCGTTGCCAGGATCAACTCCCTGGTTCTTTGAGCTTTCATATGAGAGCAGAGTGGGTAAAAACTACGGCTGAAAATGGTCATAGGTGTCCCGGAAGGTTGAGGATTGCCACTTGAGAAAAATGGTTGCAATCAGACTTCGGAAAAATCACGTTTCGGGAGGGAGATGATTTTGTTTTGTGGGAATAATTAAAAATGTAGTTGGTAAACCTACAAAGAATTGAAAAGAAGTTGAAAGATTAGGGACCAGAAAATAATTTCATTTGTGTTTCAGAACTCTCGGGGATGTTGGTATACGTGTTATTGGGCGCTGAACAGTGCTGATTTTACACTGTTTTCAATGGGGCTTGAACTAGAGGACTGTACCAATAAGGGAACTGTCGGGGAATAGGGGTGCACTGAACCAATTCAAGCTCCATCGAAAAAAGTGTAAAATCAACAAAGTTTGGAGCCCCATGGCGGCCAACTGAAGTCCCTGAGGCCTCTCAAACAAAAAAACAATGTGTTGCTTGGTGCTTCAGATTTCATTTGATTTTCAAGTTTTAGTGGGTTAACTGATGAATTCTTTAATTATCCTCCCAAAACAAACTCACCCCCAAAAGTGAATGTTACAAACTCTTCTCAGCGGCCATTTTTCAAATGAAATCCCTTACCTTTGTGGCTCATCTGACAAATTTTTAGCCACATTTTCGTCTGCTTTGCCCCCAGATGGATGCTCCTGAATCTATAGAGATGACCCTGGGCCATGCTGACACAATTCCACAATTTCTTGGCCCAAACAGACCCCTCTTTTTGAAAGAATCTGCAGAGGGGTACTTTTTATGCGCTTCTCCTGACGGAGATTGAGTTCGGCCCACTGCAACCAGGAAGCGCCGCCGCCGGTACTCGGCTTGAGTGCAGGAAGATCTGTATCGGGACCATGGCACACACGTCCATGGTTTAATACAAAGACGGCTCGATACGGCCACCCGGCGGCCAATGGACGAACGCGACACAGGCACGTTTCGGGAGGGCGATCGGGCCCACCCGGGCTCTTGGGGGGGATAGTTCCAGGGGCAGTTATCCTTTGCCCCACCCCCGTTGGCTACATACTTTGTAAAATGGGAATTGCATCGTCATCAGAAAATGGCATGCCCTCAAAATGGCAAACCTAGAGTGAAACTAAGGGTAAATTGGAAACGGGTGCATTTACAAGGATCGTACAGTTAAAATAAAACAATAGCCCGGGGAGATCTGGAATTGTCAAATAATTATTGACATGAATATGCCCAGTAATGGCATGCGAAAACACTGCCAAGCGGCGGAGCACGGTGCTTGCTTCACACTTCTATAAAGGACTTAGAGCCAGTCTAAAAGGACTGGTACCCCTGGAACGAATGTTTGAAACCCGGCGTTTTGTTTGGGGCGTCTTGCGGTGTTGTCCCTCCAATCGGGAGAGTATTCTTCCTCTGGATACGATCTAGCCGTACGCGCCGACCCAGCTCGTATCGTCGTGCGCACCATTACTTTCATGCAGCCACGCATCTACCCTACGTACGTTGTCGCGGTCACATTCAATAAGAAACTAAGTTTTCGCATGAATTACAATAAGAGCTCACCGCCACCTCATCTATCACACTTTAAATTTGTAAGTTATTGGCCATCATGTAGCATTATTTCGAGTAAGATTCTACAAATCAATCTCTGTTGGACACATGTGACCATGTTTTACATGTTGAAAAGGGGCGATTTGTAGTTACTCGCATTTTTGCATCTTCATTTCTCACTTCAAGTGAGTATTTTTGTGTCATGTTCTCTTTATTACTTTTGTTCTCGTAAGGTGTGGCTCTATTCGTCAAAAGTGGACATCGCCAAAAATGATCGGAAAAAATAATTCAGTGAAAAATGCATTTTTGCAAATGCAAAAATTAAGAAAGGTTAGCCTAATTAAGAACAAGGGAGTCGTAGTTTCTCATCTTCGTTCAACCTTTTCTTTTCTTTACTCTGACAGAGAAAAAACTTTACGGCGTCCCCAACTCTGTCTGGAATTTTCCAACAAGAAAAATTAAAAAGAATATAATTTAAGGATTCTGTAGTGACTATAGCAAGTTAGTAAGTGGAGTTCTTACCCCCCAGTTTCCCCCACTTGAACCAATCGACCGCGAACACTCTCCTCAACATACAGCGGACGACTAGAAAAAGAACAACTTCAAAAAGATAGAAATCGGGATACACGTGCTACTTAGAGTTGGTTGGCATGATTGGGGGGTTGTGGAAAAGACAAGTGGGGTTCATCAGTCCCCCCCCCCTCACCACTAGTTACCAGTGCAAACATCTTGATTATTACATGCAGTACCACTGCACTCAACCGCTTTCAGTCTTTTGACTGGGTGTCAGCGCCGGGTCGGTTAGAATTAAAACAGAGCCTTTGGTAGGAAGGTGCAAGCCAAGTAGCCAGCATTACCTCTTAGAATACGCATTTTTTCGTGTCAGAAAAATTAAATGAGTTCTTTTGGGGGTAATGTAGCTCAAAATGTTCCACAGCAGCAGTACCCACAGTGTGCACAGTTGTTTCCAAATTGACCTTGAAACTCCTCGATCGAAATATTATTTGAGAAAATTATACTATCTCGAATAACATATTCTGTACTTCGTTGTGATGCTGTAAGCCGTACGACTCCGTGCGGAAGAACCCGACTTTTACTCCCCTCATATGTACGCCCGTACGCATAGGCTGGTTCTCGACCTTTCCATTACTATGCGGTTTCTTTTCGGGCGGGAATCAGCCTACCGTTCGTTTGCCGTGTGCGAACGGCCCGGCGTTTGTACATGAATGCGTGGTCTAGTTCGAACACGGGCACTCTGCTGTGGGTCTACATGTAACAACATACAACGTGCACAACAGTTTGAGCAAAATGGCGTCCAGCGAATCTGGAGACGACTCCCTATATCCCATTGCCGTTTTGATCGATGAATTGAGAAATGAAGACGTTCAGGTAAATGAGGGTATCCTGTTTAAAGAAACTGGTCTAACAAGCATGAAATACGACAGCAGTTTTTCGTGTCGTATCATTTCGTGTCTTACCATGCTTATCTCGCCTTGAATGGAGCGTTAGTAGGCCTAAGCCTAGCCCAACTAATGTGGCACGGACTCTCACTCCCGATCCATCCTCAGCCACACATCCCGTATACGCAATTTCGTGTCGGCGTATTGAACATTTCGGCGCACCCACTTATCTTCGTGGGTGCAATTTCTTTTGCACACGAACATGAGTCTTGACCTTTCTGCTTTCTAAAAACCATTCATTGAATGATTTTACTCACGTTATTGAGGTATTTTCCAGTTTTTTGGCCTTTATCCATTCAATCTAATGGGCTCGCTCTCACAGTCGCCATCTTTAAAATAAGGTCGTTGACCATTACGTCACTTGACCCCTCATCGTTTCGACGGCTCTGCCATGTCAATCTAAACTGCTGCCAAAGTTTTGGAAGAGCCCATTGGTACGTGTAGTGTCTTATCGCTCAGTCCGTTTATTACATATGTCTTGACATGGAACAGCCGTCGAGACAATGAGGGGTCAAGTGACGTATTGTTCAACAATCTTATTTTAAAGATGGCGACTGAGAACGAGCCCTTTAGATTAAATGGATAAAGGCAAAAAGACTAGAAAATACCTGGATAACGTGAGTGAAATCATTCAATAAATGGTTTTTAGAAAGCGGAAAGGTCAAGGATCATGTGCGTGTGCAAAAGAAATTGTGCCCACGGTGATAAATGGGTGCACTGAAAATGTTCAGTACTCCGACACGAAATTGCATATACGGATGTGTGGCTAAGGATGGATCGGGAGTGAGAGTCCGTGCCACACTAGTGGGGCTAGCCTAAGCCTAATGTGAGGCCTATGGGCCAAGTAGCCCAGGTTGGACGACGTCTACATTAGTCACAATGTAATATAGACGTCGTCCAACCTGGGCTAAGGGCCAAGGTACCCCCAGGACTGTGGGGACTGACGTCCGTGGGAGAGGAGCGAACGTCGGACCCCACAGTTCTGGGGGTAGGTCAACTTAGTGCATGTACGGTCAGGCAACTGATGCTGGTCAACATGGCCAGCCATCGTAACATGCGATTCGGAACCTTCACTTTGCAGTCCACCTTGATGAGGAAATAATGTCATGTTTTCATTTACTTCAAAGTTTATAAAGTAATGTCAGTGGTAACTTGTAAAAAAAAAAAAATTAATAAGAAAGGCAACCCCCCCAACTAAAAAATAAGACCAGAAACATTTCCAACAGAAATCAAGACTTAGCAAGTTTTATTACACCCCCCGAAAAAAATTACTAAACAAAGCCATCATTCCCCACAAAATGAAAAAGTCCAATAACCTTTTCCCAGAGTCATAAGAATGAATTGAAGTCCCCCCAAGAAGAATTTTAAGTTTAGTAAAGACCCCCCAAGAGAATGTTTATAAGAAAGTCAAGTTGGTAAATGGTCAGGTTGTTCGATACCAATCACGAAAAACCAACAGCAGAAACATCCGCGGCAGGCACTATACAGAAAATCATGCTGGCACTCTAGATCTCTCGGGGAGATTTATGAAGATTTTACCCTGATATGTTTGGCAAATCTGATCTTAAACCTGCTGAAAAGGAAGAGCAGAAAGTTGCAACCGAATTGCAAACATGAAGGTACAGGTGGTCTTGACTCGAAGTACGAGTTGTCCAAGGTACAAGTCCTTTAAGGTATGAGTCATCCAAGGTACAAGTCACCCAAGGTATGAACTGACTTGAAAGTGTCTTGTTGATTGTCAAAGTTCTGAATTAGGGCCTAACGGTACGCATGCTGGGCTGGGCCTCTTACCGTGTATTTAGGTCGTCATGCCTTGATCACCTACATGTACCTTACCTAAAGAATGCCAGTAGCCTGATACTGCTAGAACTAGAAGACACAATATCCATGCAAAATCTCTGCAAAACAGAAATGAATTTTGGAACTCAGAAGCTACCTTACCAGCTAAGGTTGGTCCAAGTAACTTGGACTCTAATGTGTTGCAAATCGCCTTTTTTTAAGAGGTAAGGAAAGGAAAACCTCTCCCCAATTAACCTTTGAAGAAGAGGTGGAAAGACAATTTTTCAAAATTAACATTATAAAAATTGAACACTTTTCACATTTAGGCCTGTGGCTGGAAAAATGGGTTTCTGTGAGTCCCTTTTTCGCCAATTTTAGAAACATTATGTATTAATGATATAACCCCAAAATGTCACTGGAGATACGGCTGAAAACAGTGTGTATCTTTTACACAAGTCTCGTAGTAGAGGCATGCTGAAAATGCAACGTTTTTCCACAGTTTTTGTCCACAGTGTTGATTGTTCCATCCATCAAGTTTACGGTATAGGTCAGAATTTTAGCCAACACGCAAACATGCTTTACATGTCAGCGTGTATTGAGTCAAACACGGGCATGGGAATCTTTCTGGTTTAACTAGAATTCCATTTTTTTTTCACCTTTAAATTTGAGGTCTTCAAGTTCAGTGTAAAAATGGAATAAAATTTAGGGGAAGGGGGCAAGTTGTAGGGGGTAAATGTTAGTTGACCACGCAGTGCACAAAATTTCCTTAAAACTGAAATTTGTATTTTGAAACAATTTGATTTACACGACGCTTCGGGACCCTTCGAAATGTACGAGGATCTAATTTCGCAGATTTTCACAAAACCTGAATTCTCTTTGCGTAACCAAAGGAGGGAACCCGTGAAGAGTGCTGTCGCGAGCTCGGGCTTCGCCACAGCCACTTGGCGTGAATGCCCGGTGTCCACAAAAATCTGACCCATAAAAATCAGACTCTTACCTGTTATTGGTTAATTCCTCTCACATGACTGGCCATTCTTCTAATTATTATACATACGCATGCGCATTACTCCAAATGGGTCTGTATTTCATAGAGACATAAATTCTTGGCAGCACTGCGAGGCTTTAGGCCTCATGGCTGGCTGGCCATGTGCGAAGTGGCTTTTGGAAATTGGTACGTGTTCATGTACTCTATATGGTCGAAGTGCCACGCTGTACGTAGGTACCGTACACACGTGCAGTCAGGAAACAAAATCAAAATCATGGCAAAAGGAAAGAACTTGAAGTTCATTGAGCGGGGGGGCTGCCGATCAGAAAGGGATTGATATATCAGTAAAAAACAAGTGGAACTGATCGAGGTGTGACAAATTATTACTTTCTGAAACGTAAGATGAGCATGTGGTGGGCGACTGCTTTCTTAAGCTGTACGACCCTGGAGAAGCATGGTGTGAGTGGTGTTGTGTTTGTATCAGGTGCAGTACTTCCGGAGCGAAAGCATTGATACAGGATGCAGTTAAGTACGAGAAGAACCACAAACACTTTCGTGAAAGGAGAACGAACTACATCACAGGTTTTACAAGTCCAGTTAATTAGTAAAACAAAATCAGAGTAATTAAAAAAAATGAGAAATGTCCTTATAACTGAGAAGATTTTGCTTCAATAAATTAGAGGCAAAGGGGCCATGAATTGCCTCAGATTACACCACAGCGCATCTAGAATCCAAAATTTTCCGGGGCCCTTAAGTGGGTCCCCAGACCCCACGCCGTAAGGGTTTTGCACTCTGCACTTGCAATAGTCTCCCTAGGATTAATTTCATCAAAAAATATTATCAGGGTTTTTTGTTTGTGCCCATTCACATGCCTGCAAACAGACACAAAAAGGAGTTAACCGCAAACACGAAACACGCTGACCCCTGTATAACAGAACGCCAGCACCACAATTCGATCTGCTGAGTATAAACATGCATACACTACACACAAACACAGCCGGGCCTTTGTTGACCAGAGCAGTGATTTTCCTAGTTTTCAACATGAAAAATATTCTGTTTTCCTGCAGCTCAAGTTATCTTCTAATTCCTGGGAAACCTGGTCAGTAGTTCATCTTTTACAGAGTGCGAAATTAGACCCAAAAAGTGCTCAGATAAAATGTCATAACAGAATCAATTTTGTTCTGCCATTAACATCTTTTGATCTGCCATATTATATCAAAGGTAGAGTTGGAACGTGCAGTGTCACTGTGCCAGGGGTCAAAATTCACCTTTTTCCCCCCCACCCCCTGGTCCTACCAGAACCGCAACGCAGCTGCATTGAGCAATCCTTGTTCAGGTGCAGGCTGCGACGATGTTTTTTTTTTAGTTTGCGTGATCGGGCAGGCCATGTCATAAATTTGCTTGCTCAAATTGGATCAACACTTGCCAAAGATTACTCAGAATCCACAATTATTGTTATTTAACTAAGGCCTACTGCATACATACAGTCTTTTATTAGTTAGGTCAAAAATACATGATGCAATGTGCTGTACTTTTTTTTTTGTTGGAGGGCAATTCTGTGCTGATTAAATGGCATTTGTTGGGCGACAGCCTCCAAAAGTATCTCAAAAAGTGATGAACACCTGTCCTAATCTATGTAAAAATTTCTACAAACAGCAATTCACAAGAAAATTATGAACAGTTCACACAATCATGATGGCAATCACGATGGCAAACTGGCCAACAATGTCCGTGTATCGCATTCGTGTGGTAAGTGTGCGTGATGCATCCAGACCAGCGGGCGCTAATCCTAGTGCCATGAGCAGAACAACCTCAAATTACACTCATGAACACAGAAAATACAGACATAAATAAGAGACCAAGTTCTGTGAATTAACTTGCAGAAAACCTCTTGCAACAAAACATTAAACATGGATATCTTTCAGGCCTGTAGCCTTTTATATTAGAGGTGTGTAAGGCCGATGAAGAGTGTTTACATACAGCAGATGCAGTATATGTACAGTACAGACTGGTATTGGTTGCTAAATATCCATCACGCATTCTTTTGCATGGGTGCGGCGTGGCGGCAGATTCGTTTAATGCATACAGTTTCGAGCATGTGTTTTCACCACTGTGACAGTGCAAAGTATTATGGGGTGATTTCATGTCTGTGCAAATAAATGACATTGGCCGGTGATGAGCGATCAGCCCTGATCGCATAATTAACGCAATTCTAACACAAATCTAATAATAGATTGGACGCCGTAATCCCATATATTGTGTTGATATTTTAAGAGCTGTTGTTGATGTGTTGGTTGGACAATTTGTCTGAGCATCTTTGATTTCGTTCGGACAAACACAATAAGTGCTCGGAAAATGTCCGATGTCTGACCGTAATTTCACATTCTGTTGTATGTCGTAGGCATCACAAAATCGTTTTCAAAGATATAGCGATTTGGTTGGCCATACAGGATTGATGAATGTGCCATGCAGGCAACACTTTTGAATTGCTCCAAAAACATCTGAATCAGGTACAGAAAATCTTCGAGCGTGAAATAATTTTTCAGACCAAGGCAACTACTTTATAACTCACAGTTTTTATGACAAAGCATTACCTAAATTAGAGAAAGCAAGTCTACTGATAGCAAAAAAGTGCACACAATATCAAGCTGATTGATGGAAATAGGGGAGCAGTGAATTTATCTGCGATCAATGTATTTCCCCTCAAGGACAAAACACATGGTAGAGGATTAAATGAAGCCAGTGCGCACCCATTTCTTTCAAATTGCAATTTTGGGGGCTTTTCCACCAAAGGAAAACTCTCCTTTTT